GCATCTGACGGACTCTCCACCAGAAAAGTTACACAATGCACCTTTAAACTTAAAACAGTGTAAACGTAAATTAAATGATTCCACTTAATTGCAAAAAGGCTCCATTTATCCAGCACAATTAGGGAAACAAAGATCACTAAGGTTAGAGATAACACTTTCTACATTTAAATATAGCACAATGAACATTTAACTTTAATTGCTGAAGATATTTTCAAAGACACATATGCAGAGAAAACTGGTGTTGTTTACGTTTGGCAGGTTTTTAATTAGATACAACAACACTTTACGCATTTAGCATTTATCATGTGACCTGTTGAGCTGTGACAATACTACATAATTAATTGTTTGCGTGGGTTGACATTTGTTTTACTTCATAAATTAGTAAAACTTTAAGTGGGGATCTCAATTATCCTCAGTCGAGTATTATGCCAAAGGAAACGTAGAGACACAGCAAGTCAAAACACATGCAAATCTACACACGCAAACACACACATATACGCACAGTAAACATGATGACAAAGTACAGCTGTGTCCATGTGGTGCAAGGCATGATGGGAAAATTCAAAACAATATTATTTACTAAGGTTATCACGAGTAAACAGTAACGGAGAGAGTTCACACTTCATAATGAGTCCAGGCCACAGGAAGCTGCTACTAACTGTGGCTAATGACATTTTCTCCACTGGCTTAAAATTCCCTTTGGTTTTTAGTGGGTGGAAGACTTTGGCACACGGACTGGGAGATCATAATTTTCTATTCTATTTTGTTTTGTCCTGCTAGAGAAAATAATAATAATTTTGATAATAATTTCCTGAATATAAACAAGACAAATGTTTGAATCAGTGCAATTTAAGAGAAAATTATAACATTTCTTCCTTCAAAGCATCAACTGAATAAAAAACATATAATTTGTGATTAGAAATGACTGAATCTCAATCTTGATCACAATTACAGCCATAGTGCTAAAAATATTTATACATATTTGAGTTGATTATAGGTCCTATATTACACAAAAATGACTTTGGTTAGGTTAGGTTGCTTTATTCATACATTTGTTTTGCAGATTTGAGAGGCTGGTCCCATATTTCACATTTCATTCATCCACATTATGTGCAATAAACACGTATAAAAACACAATTACAAAATAAATTGTTACAGTGCTCCAGTGAAGAGCAGGTTTGTTCCATCCATCACGCTTAACTAAAAACACAATAAATATTAAATATGTATAAAAACACTCGGTATTTCCAAGACAAATAGACTAAAATTGGTAGATAAACAGATTACAGTTTATTCATAAGTATAATAGCAGCTGGACTGAAGCTCCTTTTAAAACAATTCGTTCTAGACCTTAGGACTAAAAGCCTCTGACCAGGGAGAAGCAGCTGAAACTCTGAGCTTAGTTGATGTTGCACGTCTTTCAAAATACTCTGGGACATCCTCTGTAACTGTCTTGAGTACAGGGAGTCCAGGCGGCTCTGAGGATGGACAATCACCTTACTCGCCCATTTAATCGACTGATTCAGAGAGTTCTTGTTTTTAGCAGAGACGTTCCCAAATCATGAGACCAGTGAAAAAGTTAAAACTGATTACATAAACTTTTTATAGAACAGTGTCATCATGGTTGTCGTGAGCTTTAAAACATGTTATAATGCTGTTACCTTCTCAAAAACATACCTGGAGTTGTGTTTTATTTCATTCGCACATGTTTGAGTAATCCTTTATTATTAGTCTGTGTACATCTCCAAAGCTCAAAATGTATGGAGTAAGAAATATTTGTGTGCATAAGATAGAAAACTGTGCATATTTGGAAAATCCGTGCATATTTGGCTGTGGTTGAGCATAAACTAAATATTCGTAAACTCTCGAATGAGTCCAGTCATACATAAAATGTATTTGTGTATTTTATGCATCAGAATATGAATTGAAAAGTTACAACATCAAGAATTATAATTGTGAAATGAAGTTGCATCTATGAATTTGTATCCGTACTGAAGAAAGCGTAATCGTAAATTTTCATTTCGTGATTGTAATTCTTGATATCATAACTTTTCAATTTGTATTCTGATTTTATGTATGACTGGACTCCTTTGAGAGTTTACGAATATTTATTTTATGCTCAACTACGGCAAAATATGCACAGATTTCTATCCTATGCACACAAATATTTCTGAAAGTGTTCTTGCTCCATAAAAATGCTCTTTTCCACCTTCTGATGTCATGACGTTTCCAAGATAGCTTTTACCTTTCGCTCAGTAAAGATGGGCAAATCCAAAGCTGAAATTATCAAAATGATTATAGCAAAGGTGTATGGAGTTTAAAAAAAGGTGGAGCACTTCCTGTATTACCACATGAGGTCACAAGGTGGAACAAGGTGGAGTTTTCCGTTTGAGAGAAGAACTCAGTCGAAATATGCAGGATTTGTGTATTAAACATGCATGAATGAAACAAAACTCTTGGTATGTTTTTAATGAAGACACAACATTATAACATAGATCATAAAATAGTGTAATATGGACCCTTTAAATACATTTTTGCAGATCCTTTATGATCAGAAATGACTACAGTCTCGACTACAAATATGAATTCACATTTGAGTGCATTACACTAAACACACTAACACTCAAGAGTTGTCATTTTACAGTTTGTACATTAAAACGGCAATATTTATTCAAAACAACTTCATAAAAATTCAACCCCAGTGACTTCCTGTTAAAAACTGTCGAGCCGCTTTGCCTGCCTCTTAACCCTTTGTCACTGTGAACGCTTGAATTTTTGCAAAAACCACAAGTAAGCACCGGGTCACGGAATAGAACATTAGATAGATGTAAACTAAAATATTTTGAGAACTTGAATGCCATAAAATATACAGGATTATCAAGCACAAAAAGAACAGTCACAGACAATTTTGACAAAGATAATAAATAGGCCTAATGGAGGAAAAATTCATAAAAGCTGAATTTGCATTTAATGAGTCTACTTTGTTTTCTTTGCTCTTTTGAAAATGACAGATGGGATTATGACAGATTTAGACGTTTCTTGTCTGAAAACAAAAAGAGCAAAAGATGACAGGCTGTTAACGTGCGATTACCAGCTCAATTATGACATTCCTGTGTTATGGGCTGCCATGGTAACCTCGGTCGCAAAAACTTCCTGCTGAAGGCGAGAAGTGAAACGGTGGCACTGAGGTCAGCTCGCAAGCAATCTCTAAAAATATCTTAAATGTGAGTGTGATGTTTTGGCCGGGCGTATTTTGGAAAATTGTAGGTTTGTCAAGACGGCTTCGATCTGAGATTTTAAGCAGCTGTTTGGATAATAATAATAAAGGATATTCACCTTTTATCTTCATGTGATATTACAGGAGTTTTGTCCATTCAAACAGTATATTTAAATATATGTTTTATTCTTCAACATTCCAGTCAAATGAAGCTCATCGAGGCTTTGCAGTTACAGAAGTGAATTTGGAGCAGAGTTTCAAATTAGGAAAAGGAATTGATTTACAGATATATAGTGAAATAAAAACACCAGGATCATGTAGAGCAAGTTGAAGGGACAGTTTGGAATTTTGGACATAGGACCTCATTTCCTAGTGAGCCAGAGTGTTGGAGACGTGTGGATACACTTTTTTAAATATTCCATCCAGTCCTTGTATTTGCAAAGGTCGCTGGTGCTAGGCTAGTGCATATCAATGGCCATAGTTATCCTGCCACTAAAAACAGTCTTACTCACTCCACAAAACACCCGAAGCAAATCTATTATTACGCCAGACTGTCGATGTAAATGTTTGTGTTGATAGAGTAATGTTAATAAATAAAACTAACCTTGCAGCGCATGAATCGTTGCATGTTGAGGGACTATTTTCTCATATATCAGTCCGCCTCTGCCACGCTTTCTATCAAGAAGTACAACTCACTGCTGCTGCTCAGACATAAATCCTTCAAATGCAAGGTTGGTTTTACTTCTAAAATTATTCTATCGACACAGACATTATAATGGCGTTATAATTGTTTTGGTTAAAATTGGTGTTTTGTGGAGTGAGTAAGACTCTTTTTAGTGGCAGGATAACTATGGCCATTGACATGCACTAGCCTAGCACCAGTGACCTCTGCAAATACAAGGACTGGATGGAATATTTTAAAAAGTGTCTCCACACTTCTCCAACACTCTGGCTAACTAGGAAATGAGGTCCTATGTCCAAAATTCCAAACGGTCCCTTTAATACGAACATTTTAAAATGAAAATGACGAGGCTCACAGCAGCAGTTACAGGGAGAAGGGAGACGATTTTTCACAGTAGGTCAATTGGAGCCAGAGTTGATGGAGCCAGAAGGGCGCCCATGCTCACTTCCTATTTGGAACGCGGTCCAAGTCCATGCAGTCTCTGTCTAAAACCCATATTAATATTTTAACTGATTCCTTCTAATACAACAAATGAAACACAAGAATGGATTGTACCAGTATAAATGGTATAGAAAACAACATTAGTTCTAGTAATATAACTTTAACACTGTAGGTACGAGTATTTTTTAAAGGCTGTGAAGTTATTTGAATTTCAATAGAGATACAGATTGAGTCTTTTCTAATTGTTTATGATATGCTTTGGGTGTTTTAATGGGGAAGTCCAGAGTCAATCCTCAGGCAGTAAAAGCATGTGGTTTGGAGCAGAGTTCGCGCTTTGTGGGAAGACATTTTTGGGTAAAATGGCAAAGATTAAAAGTCTGTATTGTTTATCTTCAGGAAATTAATACTGAAAACCTTTGGCAGTTGTTTTTAATAAGACAAAATGAAATTGAAGAAATCTGTGACCAGTCAAAAGAAATGAATTGTGATTAATTCTATTGCCCAGCCCTAATTGTATAGATTTAGACAAACTTTAATGACTCACAAAGGAAATTATTTGGACACAGTAGCAAACAGCAAAAATATAATTGGTAAAATAAGTAGTAGCTGTATTTTGCATTGTATTTGGCTTGTATGTTAGCACGTATATGTAGCACTGACCTTGAGAGAGGATCCTCGAGGACTCACACATTTGAATGGTTTCTCCTCTCCGTCCACAGTGTCGTCCACTTTGTGTCTTTTCTCCGCCGCCTCCGCTCTTCGCTTCTCTATCTCCTCCTTCATCCTCCTCTTCTCCTCCTGAAAATAAGATAACACCATACAGCTTAGAAACACATCGCACTTACCGTATGTCATCAGACTATAGTACAGGGGCGGGCAATTATTATTTCCATGGGGCCACATGAGAAACAGAAAATATTGTGGAGGGCCGGGCCAAAATACTTCACTCAATTCTGCATAATATTAATTCTATTTCTTTTTACAAAAAACAGTAAATAGCATTGTTTTGACAAACTGGTAAGACAGGTAAGAGTAAATGTTATGAATAAACAATGAAAAAGTGAGGTCGCCTTACAAAAAATGGCATTAAAAAAACAACTCTTAAAAGCAATGCAGCTTTAGTCCATGCATGAGGTAAAATGATAAAATATGTTTATTTTGTATGGGTGTGACGATATCCAAGTCTCACATACGATAATATCACGGTACAATATTTATTGTGATATCGTGGGAAAGCTCATGATATGGTGGGGAGGCTCACGATTAGGGATGTAACAATATCCAAATCTGTTGGTACGATATTTTCATGATATACATCTCAAGGTACAATATTTATTGTGATATTTTGTGGAGGCCAAAACTGTTAATATGTTACTTTTTCCTCTTAAAATGCCTTGACAAGACTTAATCCAAAGAACTAAGACTTAAAAGTGCTTAGAACTGTTATTTCTTCTTGAAGTCTACACTTAGAGGGAACTACATAGACCATGATCCTTTGCTCCATTTGTTTTTTTTTTTTACCTATTGCTGCACCATAACTCTTCATTAAAGCAAAGAGACTTGTAATTCGATATATTGTGATGGTCCAAGGTATTATTGTGAGAACTTTGACGATATGATATCACGATATTTCGGTTATTGTTACATCCCTATTATTTTGTAAATCCAAATTATCTTAAATGGGCCGGTCAGAGTCAACCAAAGAGCCATATGTGGCCCGGAAAATGTATAATTCCCAGATCTGCTACAGTAGGTAGATATATTGTCAAAAAAAGAATGCATTAAAGGTGTCCAGAGTTTGGTGGTAGTCTGTTACCTTCTTGCCTCCATGGAGATGTTATTGCTTTGCACGGAATGTTCTAGCCTGATTCATCAGCTGATTTCACATTGTGGAAACCATCTGTCCTCACAGCATTAGGATTCGTTTGCTTGATGGTAGTACTTTTTTATTTAACCAATCGCTGCTATTTGGTCGTGAAGTATGTAATGCGCCACCACTAACGGGGCTAACTGGTATATTAAGCTTTTCCCAAATCCCGTAGGAAGAAGGGTAATAACGTCTTTCCCCTTGATAAAATTCATCAAACATTCTCTTTGTTCCAGTTTTAAATCCTCAATCTCAGGAATTGTTGCCAACACAGAATGTATGGCTCTTCGCTGAATGACTGGTGCACGGACTCGTACTTCCTGGGTTCTTTTTTGTTCCGATTCCTGACCTAGTTGCTGGAGAGAAATGAAATTGAGCGGAGACACTAGGCGGTGCCAGCCTGGCTAGGAATGCTCTACAGCAGGGGTGTCAAACTCATTTTGGTCCGGGGGCCGTATCCAACCTACTTTGATCCCAAAGGGGCTGGATCAGAAAACTCATGTCATATAAACCCCAAAAATAACAGTAAGTTCAAATATTTGTGCAGAGAAACGCAAATCTATTACAGAAATATTTTTAAACTGATGAACTCTTTCTTTTACAAAATATTATAATATTGAACAACCTGAAACTTTAAGAAAAATACAATTTCAGCATGATGTTTTAACATGAACTTATGTATGTAAACAGGAATAAGTCAATTTTTCTTGGAAAATCCTGCACTTGGCTCCACTTTTCTCATGTTGGACATTTTTCTGATGAGGGTGTCACATCAACAGTCAAAACAATCATCCTTTAAGAGCGTTTGGAAAGAGACAAGTCTTCATTTGTGCTGCTCTGGTGGGAGGGGCCATGTACAGAGACGCTGGAGACGCTGCTGTGATAAACACCACAGAAAATTAACAAGATTTTAATAGAAAATATAATTAAAATATTTTAGTAGAAAATCAGCCGAGGGCCAGATTAAAGGTTTTGGAAGGCCGGATCTGGCCCCCGGGCCTTATGTTTGACACCTGTGCTCTACAGTATGGCATTAATGTTATCTATCTGTATTTGTTTGAATACAAAGGTTTACATAGCTCAAAAATACCTTCAGACACATGGTTTCTTACTGTCAAGAGCAACGCCTCTAGACAAATCTGTAACTTGACCTGGTGGAGTCATCCGTTTGAAGATGGATATGTTTAATGCCGTACTGTGAAATATACCAGGAAAAAATAATATAATCTCCATGGAGACAAGCGGACATTGGACCCTCCACCACAAACGTTACACAGTGCACATTTAAAGTTCAAATGTTAATGTGAGTTAGAAGAGGATTCAAAGGCATTCATCTGGAAACAGTTTGTGAAATCATTGTGTGTTCTGTACAAATCTATCACAATCTGAACTCAAAATGGCAGCTATTGTTGGATGTATTTTCTATTTCTGGACCTGATTCTGCTGAGCAAACATATTGACTGTTTATTTGAATACTCCCAGCAGGTGTCCTTCCTGTGCATATCCTTCTATTCAACGGGACCTAACCTGTTGCTCCTGGAAACGTAGAAAAGGATGTGTGCCTAAAACAGCAACTGCAGAAAGACCTCGATGTTAACAGACTGAGGGAGGTTAGAGACGGGTTTGGGTAAATGGCAGGAAAAGCAATAAACTTCAAGGGTAACAAAATAAATGACCTGTGGAGAGCAACTAAGATGGACCATATTTTGTCTACTTAGTGAAGGAAAAAAAATATGATTTAAAGAGCCACTATGTAACCTTTGTGGTGGAGGGTCAGCGGCCTTTAGTCTCCATGGGGATATGACGTGAATGCTTTGTCTGGAAAGTTGCTCACTACGGCATTCAGTCTTTCTATCGTCATGGAGAGTAGTAAGGTATTCTTAAGCCATTAAAAACAACTGTAATCAAATAAATTCAAGTTTAATGCCATATTGTGTAATGTCTAGGTAATTTTGTAGGCTGATTCATCAGTCGTTTCACTTCGTGGAAACTGTCTGACTGCATTCGGATTCGTTTGCTTGACAATAGATGAGTACTTTTTTTATTTAACCAATTGCTACTATTTGGTCGTGACATATATAATGCGCCAAATCTCGTAGGAAGAAGGGCAATAACGTCTTTCCCCTCGATAAAATTCACCAAACATTCTCTTTATTCCGGCTTTAAATCCTTGATCTCGGGAATCGTTGGGGAATGTATGGCTTTGTCTACCACAAAAGGGACCAGACAGGTGCTTGAGTTTGACATCATGGCTTCACAGCTCTTTGCTGATTGGCCGATGTGCAGTCTACAACTTCTGGGGTTCTTGCAAACCATCTAGTGTATTCCAATTCCTGACCTAGTCACTGGAGAGAAATAAAATTGAGCGGAGACACTAGGTGGCGCCAGCCTGGCTAGTAATTTTGACCCTACATAAGAAATCTTTCATAATGCAACTTTATATACTAAGTACAAGGCTGCAAAAGATCTGGTGAATATAAGAAAAAAGAAACTTGCATAGTCAATCTTTCAAAAAAGTTAATAAAAAGTGTATAAAGTGTGATCTTGCCGCTTTTATGGTTAATTTTACCGTCCATTTGATTTGATTTGCAGTTTTAAAATTTTATTCAATTGTAGATTATTTTTACTATTGCATATCCTCCAGTATATTGCCTTATATCATCATTTTAATTGATACATTGCAGCTGATGTAGACAACATTCCCTGAGGGTGTGATGCTAACTGGAAGCACTGCTCTGTTAGAGGCTCTGTAACTCAAGTTAGACTTTAATCTGAGTTATACGTTAACACAATCTGACCAGAAAGAGCTGTCTTAATTGAAAGTACCTAGCCTGATTCATCAGCCGGTTTCACTTCGTAAAAAACGTTTGACCTTGCAGCGTTGGAATTCGTTTGCTCGACGGTAGGCGGTTAGTTTTTGTCATTTAACCAGTCACTGCTATTTGGTCATGACGTATGTAATGCACAGCTAACGAGGCTAACTGATGTATTAAGCTTTTCCCAAATCCTGTAAGAAGAAGGGCAATAACGTCTGCCTAGAAACGACCACAAGTGAGCTGATGTGTGCTGTGAAACAAGTCTTTTTGGTTGTGTTCGCTAATGTGTGCATTGTGTCACCATAGAGATACATGTAGAACTCCCCCAGCGTGACGTCACTGCGAAGTATTGATAGCGAATTACTAACACAGGAAACACTGAAGAAACTGTGAAGGCAGCCTCTGCAGACAGAAGATACTATGTGCTACTTTCTAATTGATTTACCCCCTTTATTCAATGAACGAGGTCAAAAAAACAAATTCAATTACCTCAGGCAAATTCTTATTTACAAGGAAGGAGCTCTGCCTTGGGTAAAAATGCCACTTTAGAGAGCTCTGGGGGAGTATTTTTTTGTACTTCGAGTGTTTGAAGGATTATCGGTGTGTTGAGACAGGGCTGGTACTTGGCAGAATATCAGCTCTCTCCAGCAGTCCCTGTCTTGCTTAATTAGGAGCACTGTATCTCTGGGCCATCTTTTAATTACAAACCAAAAATGCTCATTAACATCACACAAGACAAGAAGAAAAAGGGTGACAAGGGGAGAGGGAGTGAGAGGAAGAGATGGACAAACTCAGTCATAAACCAGCACACGAGGTCAGGGCTGAGAGGGAGGAGGGTTCGAATTAGAGGTCAGGACAGAATTTTCAGCTCCGCTACTGCCTGCACCCGCATTGTGCAGTCCCACTCCCGCCCTGCCCGCAAAGAATTGTAACTTTCATTCCCGCTCCCCCCTGCATCTGCGATTTTTTTGTCCCGCAAATCCCACATGAACGATCACTTTCTTAAGCTCTATCAAACACGGAGAAGCAGAAAGGAATTGTCTAAAATGTGCGCGAGACTAGACCACATCCACAAGTTCAGGCTGCTTAAAATGTTTTTATTAATGCCAAATCATATATCCAACACAAATTATGTATAATAGACATACGTTAATCATTGGTATATTTCACTTTGCTCTCATATTTAATTTGCGGAACTGCAGTTTATCATCCTGTCCACCCGCTACCGCACTGTGCAGTCCTGCTCCAGAACGCGCGCGCAATGAGCTTTCAAAATGTGTCCCACATCGCACTGTTTTGCGTCGGGTCCTGTGACTGCAGGGCTCTAGTTCGAATCATAGACTGTGTAAAAAAGTGGACTAAGTGAGTCTGAGAATTCGGAGCCAGTTCCATGTTAGGAATGTGCATTTATTTGAGGATGAAAATACTGAAATAAAAACACCAGGATCATGTAAAGCAGGTTTATACAAACATTTTAAGACCAAAATGACGAGGCTCACTGCAGCAGTTACAGAAAGAGGGGTAACAATTTTTTTATGTAAAGCCAATTGGAGCCAGAGTTCATGGAGTCGAAAGCGCCCTCATGCTCACTCAGACATGTCCATTTATATGTATAGTCTATAGTTAGAATGCTTTTTGTAACTAATGTAACTGATAAATGAGAGATGAGATGCACTTATCATAATAGTTTGGTCACTTAGTAACTGTTATAAGCTTGTATAAAGTCTACTATTCCATGATAGGTTGGGCAATATTGAAAAAAAAAAGTTAAAACAGTAACCCAGTGATTATATATCGACCCATCAGGAATGTACTAAAACTTGCAGGTAAATGATTTGTTGTGAATCAAACTAAAATGGACTGTACCAAAACTATCTTTAATTGAGGGCAGCAAAATCTTTTGAGAGGGCCTGCTTACATGAGAATGCTTGTGGATAAAAAACACAAAATATTTTATCGGAATGCCTTTCGTTTAGAAGGCGATGGTGTTTTTGGGGCTTTTTATTTAGCTATTTTGTCTCTAAATCAATTCCTATTACTAATAAGGAACTCAGCTCCAAGTTCGTCCCTATAACTTCCAGCCTCAGTGAGCTTCATTTGACTGGACCTGAACACTATGGTTGACCTCACACTTCCTTAGTCCACTTCTTTATACATCTATGATTCTGACACTTAGGGCCTGTTTACATGAGAACGTTTCTGGGTAAAAATGACAAAATATTATATCGAAAGTGCCCTTTGTTTAAACGGTGATGGCATTTTTGGGACTTAAAAACGCAAAAATCTGAAACCACCCTCCACCGTGGAAAAATCAAATATGCCCGCTGTAGCATTTCCATCTACACTGCCCAAGATGCAAAACTCTGGTCAAATCTGCTCACATCGCGTTTACGTCACATACATACAGTACACAGAAACCTGGCATGCATACCCAATCCAGTTCCACACACTTTTGCGTCATCATATGCACGCAGCTTTCCTCCAAAAAACACTCATCTAAACGCGTGGAATAAAAAGTGAAGACGAGGCACCACTTTTGAGTCTTCTGTTCAGGCCATTATCATATAAACGCAGCCATAAACTTGAACTCTTTTAATGCGAACCAAACAAACTTTTTTACTGTGGAAAAGTCTGCTCACTTTGTCTTTCATCTGCTAGTTTCAAACCTATCCTTGATGGACAAAAGCAAACTACAAAGCGATGTTAAAACCTGCTCCAAAATCACAGGTGTCAAACTGAGAGACCTGCATTCTCTCGGGGAGCTCATCCATCTTCTGGTTCCTGACTTTGTACTCTGAGGGTAGTGTTTTTTTTTATATTGTTTTATTTGAATCTGGATCTGTAAAATTTACCACAAAAAAGCAGTAAAATCACTTTGTACCATTATTTGAAGATGCTGAAGCCCTTTTTGCAGCCATTTTGATGTTTTTATTTCACCAAAACAAAAAATATAATCCATTATTCATTATATCTCCCAACAATAACTTGGGAATTCTAAGGTTAAAGTGTCTAATGCAGTTCAAAGAGTGTAAATAGTAAATAGCGCATCTCCTTTAAGCTCCACAGTTGTGTTGATGCCAGTGTTCTGCTCGTACCTCCTCTCTCGCCTTTCTCTGCTCCTCCTCTTGCTTCCTCTGCCTCTCCTCTTCCTCCAGCACCTTCCTCCGCTCCTCCCTCCTCTTCTTCAGCTCCTCCAGCTCGACCTCTGCCTCCTGCTGCTTCTGCCTCATGCGTTCAAACTCTTCACTCTCTGCGTCGTCACGCCGTCTCTTCAGTTCCTCCAGTTTACGCTCCGCCTCCAAGCGAGCGGCGTCCTCCTCCTCGTCCAGCCCCACCGGGACCTCAGGGGAGCGGACACTGCCACGGCTGGGACAGAGGCACAGAACGTGGGTCAGAAATCACAGCGTTTAGGGGGAGGTGCTAAAGGTAAACAGGTGAAACGTGAGAATGAATGAATATTTAAAGGCACGCTTCAAGAGATCAGTGTGTCATGTGCGAACATACACACAATAGGGAGTAACTACTGTTCACACTGGGATTGTGGTCTACCAAATTATTATTGGTCGACTAAAAACATGCCCTGTGCATTGATTTAATAAAAAAATTTAACATCTGCTGCTCAAAATTGACTCTTGTGAGCTTTAAGTCATGTTATAATGTTGTTACTTCACCAGAAACATACCTGGAGTTGTGTTTTGTTTCATTCACACATTTGAGTAACACTTTATTATTAGTCTGTCCACATCTCCAAAGCTCAAAATGCTCTATTCCACCTTGTAATGCCATGTAATGGTAGTTTGCAGCAGCTACTTTTCACATTTAGTTCAGTAGAGATTGGCAATTCCAGGGCTGAAATTATCCAAATGATTCTTGTGAAGGTTTATAAAGTTTAAAAACATAAAACACCCTACATTATCAAAAGCTACTTTTTGCTTTCATTTCAGTAGATATGGGCAATTCCAGGGCTGAAATGATCCAAATGATTCTTGCAAAGGTTCATCAAGTTTAAAAACACAGTGTAGCACTTCCTACATTATCACAAGGTGTAACAGAGTGTTTTCAGCTTGAGAGAAGAGCTCAGCCTGAATATGCAGGATTTGTGTATTAAACATGTGTGAATGAAACAAAACACAACAGTGGGTACATTTTTGATGAGGAAACTAGATTGATAACATGGATTAGAAAACAGAATAATATAAACTAGGGATGTAACAGTAATCGAAATATTCGTGATATCGTATCGTCAAAAGTCTCACAATAATATTGTGAGCCGTCACAATTTAATGAATCTCAAGTGTCTCTGCTTAAATTCATTGTAATGTTGCAGCAACAGCTAAAATACTACATAGACCATGATCCTTTGCTCTGTTTCAGTCCAATCCACATGCTGAAATAACTTTCATAAGCACTTTTAAAATCTTAATTATTTGGACTGTGATGAGAAAAAAACATACTCACAGTTTTTTGTTTTTTTTTGCCTTCACAAAATATCGCAATAAATATCGTACTGTGAGATGGATATCATGAGAATATCGTAACGATAGATTTGAATATCATTACATCCCTAATATAAACCCTTTAACTCAAATTCAAATATATTATCACTACTTTTATTACACCAACTATTACTTTGTATACAAATACTTTTTGTTATTATTACCTCTGCTTATTCTAGTGGCCTAACTGTTCAGTATTATGCTATTAATACACAATATATCAGCAGTTCTACTATCAGTACGACCAGCAACTTCTACTTACTGATTAGATTCTGCTTATTTCAGCTTCTAATCCAGAGTTTTTCATGCATAAACAAACACACAAATGACTGCAGTCACTTCAGGAGGGATAAAGTTACCTCTTATCTTGTGTTTTCTATCTCTGGTTCATACTGTGAGCCAAGTGTAGCTTAGCACAGGTGACCCATGTCAAAAACACTGCAGCTCTGATCCAACACAACAGGAAATCCTCATTTACATAAGCCTCTCTATTACTCAACACTGTCATCATTCCCCACAGGCTGCAGGCACCGCTACAGTGACAAACGGTAACAGACAGTCTGATCACGATGCTTATCTGCAATGGAGCGATACTATTATAGAGCTACAGCTATAAGAGGCATGTTTAGTGATTATGTTACAATGCATAGGCCAAGTGTGTTCTAAAATAGTGTTTAAAAAGCCCAGTATGCTATTTTCTGATCTATGTTATAATGTTATTTCCTCACAAAAACATACCTGGAGTTGTGTTCAGTTTCATTCACTCATGTTTAACACACAAACTCTGCATATTGAGGCTGAGTTCTTTACCCAAACAGACATCAGAAAGTACTCCACTATGTTTTTAAACTTAAACATCTTCACTAGAATCATTTGGATGATTTCAGTACTAGAATTTCCAATCTAAACTCAACAAAAGGTAAAATTTTTCATTTTTCATTCCACATTCTTCTCTCTAATTGAATGTCTTTCTCTCTCTTTTAATTTCATGACGATTATTTATGTTTTGATTTCTTTTTATTGTGATTTTAATGTATTTCTTATTCTGTAAAGCACTTTGAATTACTTTGTGTACAAATTGTGCTATACAAATAAACTTGCCTTGCCTAAAATGTATTGGTTCACTTTAAAACTACCAATACAAGATGGAACAGAGCATTCTGAGCTTTGACAATGTAGACAGACTAAAAATAAAGGGTTATTCAAACATGTGTGAATGAAACAAAACACAACTCCAGGTCTGTTTTTGATGGGATAACAACATTATAACTTGGCTTAAAGCTCACAAGAGTCAATTTTGCGTAATGTAACCTTTAAAGATGAGTATAGCAATGTCTGTCTAACTTTACTTTGAGAAATCCAACAAATGTTGCGCAGTGAAAACCCCCCCTCCCTACAGCTCCCTACGTAGAAACGCCTTCTCCCGTCTTTACAGAAACAGGTTTGTTTACAGCCGGTGCTGCACATGACTTGTAAACAACTAAACAGTGTTGTTAAAGAAGCGGGTGTGCGGACATTTCGTTCACGGACGAGAAGTGAGGAGCCACAGGGGAGCGGTGCGCGGAGATTGTGAGGACAGGGAAAGAGCGGATGACAGGAAATGCAGAGAAGGTTGCGCGGAGATTCCAATGAACAGCAAACTCTTTCTTTGCCTTGAAAATACGTTTTACATGTGAAAAACGTTTGTCTACTTTGGAAATAAAACGTTTCATAATAACAAACAGAGTAATTTGGCGACCAACAATCGCTGGGAATCTACATCAACTTCGCTGCTTTTCCCTTGTCTTCTTCTTTCAGCTCAAAAACGGACTTTCTTTTGCGGCTAACTGCTCCTGGAGTGCAACAACTTTTTGCGTAATGGAGTAACGTGACAGTTAGGCAAAGTTAGAGCCTGTAGTAACATAGCAATGTATGTCTGTCTAACTTTACCTTAACAAAAAGACATAATTTACTATTTGTTAACCTAATTTCTGACAAAAAAAGATGAAAAAAGTTTACACGTGGGAAGGGGTTTGCCACTTTGTCATGGATGTTACTGCTCTGCCTGAAATGTTCCACAGCATGGGATAAAATATATTTTTCAATCATTCAATTACAGGTGTTTTTTTCTGAGCGGACTTGCCTCTCCACAGATCTGACTTAACTTTGTACTTGGCCTGACATTATTTGCTCGATAAATACATTTTAATGCAATACTGTGGAACATTCCAAGCAAAGTAATACCATCTCCTTGAAGAGTTACATAGTGCACCTGTAATACTGACAGTTTTGATATCTTGAAACATACATCCAGTGTTTCAGAGGCTTTTATGTAACAGATGGGCAGGTGTTACTGACTTGAGTTCGGGGTAAACAGACTTAAAGATTCATGCTGACAGCTGATCCTCCCTCTGTGCTCTACCTCTGGGTCCGCTCAGGTTTCCGGTGCTGTTTGGGCGGAGTGTCTTCTCCATGGATCCCTCCGTTTGGCCTCTGCTCCTCCTCCTCTTCCTCTCTCTCTCCTCCTCCTCTCTCATTCACCTGCATAACAAACAGAGGACGATCAGCAGGGAGGTGGTGACAGAGGGTGAGGTTTGAGTAAGTGGTGTCATGTGATCAAAGACGGAGGCCACAGCAAAAACACAGCAAAGCATAACAGTGTTCACTCATGTAAATGTGAAGACAAGCTTTAGGACAGGGGTCTCTAACCTTTTTCCTCCAGTGAGCTACTTTTACAAAACAAAAATGCCAGAGAGCTACTAGTTTTAGCAGTCACAAGAAATTTAGTATATAAAAGAGCCTCAACATTCCTTAGATGAGCTACAGTTAGATTAGGGTGATCAGACGTCCCTATTTACCCGGGACAGTCCCAGTTTTGAGCCCTGTGTCCCCTGTACCAGTAGATTTATATAAAACCACTGATTTGTCATCCCTATCTTTAACCAATCTGATCCCTGCCAACAGTAGAGGCATTAATGGTCATTTATTTAAGTAAAATACAGAAAAGCTGCTAAAAAATGACCAAAATGCAAAGAAAATATGACTATACTGACTCATGTTAGTCATGAATAGACCGAGAGCAGAAATGTTTTCCTTAATTACGCACTCGATTCACAATTTAATTATTACCAACCACCACAAACCAAGGGTGTCCCAGGTTTTTATTGTGAAAAGCTGATCACCCTAAGTTAGATACCTATAAAACATAAACCATTATCCATTTATTAGTGCACAAAGTTGGATATCAAAATGATACACGCAAAACAGTAAAAGGCATTTAATTAATCAAATTTTACTTATTCAACACAATATGTATAATTCAGAAATCCCTTGGCGAGCTACTTGGAAGAGGGTGGAGAGCTACTGGTGGCTTCCGAGCTACAGGTTGGAGACTTCTACTTTAGGAGTAGCAGGTATGTCAATGGGTACTTCTATATTTAGTTCACTTGCCTTTTTGACTTCTCAGTTCCTTGTCTCCTCCATTTTAAACAAGAAAAGAGAGAGCCATAGGGGAGAATGGTTGTCCAAAAAATCATTACCCAAATTACGATCAACTAGTATTGTAACTATATCTTATTATTTGAACAAGTATCAATAACGGACACACAAAACATTAAATGAACTAATATTATGTTGTGGAGAAAATTACATTCTTCTGCCTTATGTTTTTACTATCATTGCCATATCAAAGTTGGTATCTAGTATCAAGTCTTTTCTTTAGTATCAAAATCGGGTTTGAAACTTGCTTCTTGTAAATGTGATTGACAGCTGAGAAAGTGAAGAGTTGAGGAGACATGTGAACAAAATCGAGATGCACCGTGTACTATCCTACTTATATCCTCCCATTGGTTGTTTTTTATACACAGCTAATTAACATTTAATCTCCTAACAATTAACGTAATTGCTTGCACAGTCAAAAGAAAACCACAGGAAGACTATAAAGAAATAAATAAGAATTCTACATGTAATATGGTTATTGAGTTGATGGAAATAGTTGTGATCACCTCACTCAACAACTGTATTAAAAGAAAAGTCCCGAATTTTGGACATAGGACCTGATTTCCTATGTGGAGTGTTGGAGACGTGTGGAGGCTAGTGCATGTCAATGGCCATAGTTATCCTGCCACTAAAAACAGTCTTACACACTCCACAAAACACCCGAAGCAAATCGATTATTACGCCAGACTGTTGATGTAAAATGTCTGTGTTGATAGAATAATGTTTGAAATAAAACTAACTTTGCATCACATGAATTGCCGCATGTTGAGGGACTATTTTCTCAGCAACAGCGGAATTTTACTTTGCTGGTAAGACAGGTGCTAGGTGATATCAGTCCGCCGCTGCCAAACTTTCTATCAGGAAGTACAACTCGCTGCTGCTGCTCAGACATAAATCCTTCAAATGCAAGGTTGGTTTTACTTCTGAAATTATTCTATCGACACAGACATTTACATTGACAGTCTGGCGTTATAATTATGTTGCTTCGGTGCTTTGTTTTGCTTTTATTGGCAGGATAACTATGGCCATTGACATGCACTAGCCTAGCACCAGTGACCTCTGCAAATACAAGGACTGGATGGAATATTTTAAAAAGTGTCTCCACACGTCTCCAACACTCTGGCTCACTAGGAAATGAGGTCGTATGTCCAAAATTCTGGACTGTCCCTTTAATTAGGGATGGGACTTTACATTGTACCACAAAATCTTGCAAGATGACTTTATTTCATGTGTGGAGAAAAGATCTTGAGAAGTTGTATAGTCCCAGAAAGCAATGCGACAATGACAGCAAAACATTACTGATCTTAACTGCACAATTGTTTTATTAAAAATTATGTCAAAATCTCCTCTCGTCTCATTTTTGTAAAGCCAATCTCATGGAAATAGCGTCTCATCTCATGCCTAGTACTGAACATAAAACGAAATAAACCTTAAACTCTGGCCAGTATATTCATTGGTTTAATTGCTTTACTGCTGTTACATAATCACATTTTAAGGCTGGACCGTTTGACTCCATTCATACCAGTCTATTCTCGACGGCAGATATCGTAAGTAGGTGCTTTTCTATGAGGAATGTAAGCATCTTTTTACTTGTGAGGATGTTTTTATCTCTCACACTCGCTGCCAACAAGCATTAAGCATGTGGTTTAGGCTCCTAAGGGAATGTATAAACTAAAGAGCTAATAAAAGAAGACAGCTGGTTAGTTTGAGCAAGACACAGCGATCGTATCCAAACATTTATCTGAGCTAAAGGAGGGCCAGTTTTTATTTTAGCAGCACAGGAGCCAGTGTGGATACAGGGTCACACACTCAAAGGCTATTATAAATGCATTAAAACTGTAATGAATAGGCTTACACAGACAGGGCTCAAAATATGAATATGATAATTTTCTATATATATATACAATACGCTTTTTACACATGAGAGCTTGGGTCAGAAATATTTGAATGCTTATTAAGTTGCATTGTCCACATTTTTGACGTGGTGTGGTTTGGTATTTTTAAAATGTAATCTAACTTAATCCATTCTACTAGCAGGGCTGCTCACTTAAGGGACAATAGAATCAAATTACCAGTCTGTATTGTCACGATTACAAAAATCATGATACAATTTCTTGTCTTGTTATGAGAAATGTTTGCCTGACCAGCCAGCTCCTTTTACATTCTGTTCAAATCCAAAAGGCACTGGAATTGGACAACAGAGCGTGAAAAACCTTCATCCAAACTTGAAACAGTCCAAACACACCCGCAAAAAATGTGTATTAATTTGTTGTGTCTGTTAAATATGGAAGAAATCTCCTCTCCAAACTTCTCAAAATATAACAAAGAATAAAATATTCTTCTTTTGTCTGAGATAAGTAATAGTTTGGTGCTTCAATTGTTGATTCTGTAAAATTCTGTGCTGCTCCTTTATGTTATCCCCCCCTTTTTTTCATTCATTTAATTTTTCATCGTTTATTTTTGACGCAAACGGACTGTGTTTCTCTCTGATTGGTTAATCCGCCTGTCAATCAAGCCCTCTAAACTCATACGGCTCCAGGTCCTCTCCGTCTTTGTAAAGTTTTATCAAAGCGTGAGGTTCTGGCTGGACAGGTAAGGGAAACGTATGGGATACTTGTATTAGTTCAGCAGTGCATATGTCATATTTGATAACATTTTATGGTAAATTGCAATTATATTTGGTTCAAAACTGTGTAGCTCTATTCCTGCTTCCAACTTAGATTATTTTCAGATCTAAGTTATAATGTTGTTTCCTCATCAGAAACATACCTGGAAATTGTTTCGCTGAGTTCGTCTCACCTTCACTAAAATCATTTGGATCATTTTAGCTCTGGAACTGCCAAACTCTCCTCAACAAACTACCACTACATGACATCTCAAGGTGGAACAGAGCATTTTGAGCTTTGGAAATATAGATAGATCAATAATAGAGGATTACTGAAACATGTGTGAATGAAACAAAACACAACTCCAGGTGTGTTTTTGATGAGGTAACAACATTTTAATATGGCTCAAAGCTCACAAGAATCAATTTTCCGTAATACAGGACCTTTAAGCAACAATAAATCCTTATAGAGTGAGTGGAGTGTGTGTCATGCCCTTGATTCAGGTGAAAACATGCATAAATCAGTGACCACTCAGTGAAAGAAATATGTAATATTATCAACAATCTCACCACATCTCTCCAAACAGTGTCTCTAGTATTTTATTAACCTTCAGTCTTATTCAGTCCAAAAAACACAGCACACTGTGACAAACTGCAGTCGGGTAATTTCAGCATCTGGTTTTACTTTTGGAGCTTAGACAATTTTCTTTATAAAACATACACTATATATGCAATTACCTAAATGACACTGTATCTGAGAGGAAGTACGTATATACTCACACTGCTACTTCAACTACTACAACTACAACAACTACTTCTTTATCCAAAACTGCTACTACTATTGCTGTTGCTAATACTAGTTATTATTCCATCTGCTAGTACTACTGGTACTACTACTTTCTTCTACTACTACTACAACTACTGCTGCTGCTTCTACTATTGCTGAGTTAAATCTACTACTACTGCTACTACTACTACTGCAGCTGCTACTACTGAGTATTAACTACTACTACAACTACTACTACTACTAGTATTAGTAGTATTAATAGTACTACTGGTACTACAACTGCTGCTGCTCCTACTACTACTGAGTTAAAACTACTACTACTGCAGCTGCTACTACTCCTGAGTTTTATAACTACTACTACTACTACTACTGCTAATGCTACTACTGCTGCTACTCCTCCTCCTACTACTACTGCTACTACTACTACTACTGCTACTGCTACTGCTACTACTACCAATACTACAACAGCTGCTGCTCCTACTATTACTGAATTAAAACTACTACTACTACTACTTGTACTACAACTGCTGCTACTCCTACTATTACTGAGTTAAAACTACTACTAAAAATAATACTACTGCTACTACTACTATTACTGCAGCTGAGTTATAACCACTATAACTACTACTACTACTTCTAATACTACTACAACTGCTGCTGCTCTTACTATTACTGAGTTAAAACTACTACTACTACTACTACTAATACTGAGTAATAACTACTACTACTACTACTACTACTACTACTACTACTACTACTACTACTACTACTACTATTACTACTACTACTATTGCTACTATTTCTTGTGTACCAGTGTGACTGCTACTACCAGAACTCCAGTAGGAACCCACCACACTTTGTTGTTATTCATCCCTTACAACCTAAAGTCATAAAACATCACTAGAGTTGCTGTCCACCTCTGCTGAATTTACCCAGCATGCTCAGCGGTGCATCACTCCGCTCTGACGGCCTTACCCCCTGTAGGATACCTCATTATCCTCAGAGCGCAGTTTGTCTGTGGGCTCCCAGTCCTCTGCAGTGCCATTCCTCACAAGTATTTTGTCTGATTGGTTATCTACACACAGTTGGAGCGCCTCTTGGGCCACACCATTCTCAGATAGTTTAAAGAGCTCTGACACGACCTGATCTGAACCCTCCCTCACGATCTCATCTGATGCTTCCTCTGTTAGCTCCTGTGAGAGAGGTGAGCACAGCTTTGAAACACATATCAGGGCAGTGCTCCATCAAAGGCGATAAATCACTGACAGTACAGTACCTCGTCAGGCATTTTAGGTTCTTCGGCTGAGTCCTATGGAAAAACATTCACCATAGTGTTTACATAAAGTACTGCATCTGTTTGAACATGATTTTCAACCTTTAGGAATAAAAGAATACACGGAATAATTAATAATTGGGAAGTGTGTTAAACTGATCATTATGAAAAAAAAAAAAAAAAAACCCTGAAATGCATGATAGAGAATAACTCAATAAACACTTTTAAAGGTGTGCGATGTGACTTATAATCTGTGTATCATTCAAACCAAAAATAAAAAAACATCAACTATTTTCTTCATTATTTGTCTCCAAAGCCAAAATGAAAAAACGGGTAACGATTCGTTTTTTCAGTTTTCGATTTTGTGTTTAAATTAATAATGGAAAAAAACGAATAACAGTTTCCCGTTTTCGTGACAAACTGCGATGCCGGACTGAAGCAGGACCAATCCAGGTCCGGGACCAGACCGGAACCAGACCGGGAGTGAGACCGGAACCGGACCAGGACTGAGACCGGGACCAGACTGGGACTGAAACTGGGACCAAACCGGGACCAGACTGGGACTGAGACTGGGACCAAACAGGGACTGAGACCGGGACCAGACCGGGACTGAAAACGGTTCCTGGTTTAGACCTGTTTTAGACCTGTTTTTAGTCCTGGTTCAGTCTGTATGAGGCGCAAAAGTCCGGCATCACAGTTTAAGTCACGAAAATGTTTAAATGGCCGTTATCCGTTTTTTCCATTATTAACTTAAACACAAAATCGAAAACTGAAAAAATTAATCATTATCTGTTTTTTGATTTTAGTTTTGGAGACAAATAATGAATAATAATTGTTGTTTTTTTCATTTTCTTATTTTTGGTTTTATATTTAAAAACGAATGAACAAATTATACATGGATTACTTATGATTCAGGGTCTGCATCCAATTTCCATTCACCATAATGTTTACTAGGGATGTAACGATATCCAAATCTCTTGATATGATATTATCACGATATGCATCTCACGGTACGATATTTATTGTGATATTTTGAAGAGGCTAATATAATTGTAGATGGGACACTTTTCCGCTTTTAAAATACCTTGACAAAATTTTGGTGTGAATTATTTCCATCATAATCCCAAAAATTCAAAACATGTTTCTTCATGTTGTCTGCACTGAAATGAATCATGGGATATGTAGTTCAAATGTTTATAAGCTGTTTCTATTATAAAACCATGCATTTAAGCAAAGGAACTTGTAATTCGATATATTGTGACAGCCCACGATATTATTGTGAGACTTTTGACGACACAATATCACGATATTTCGGTTATTGATACATCCCTAGTATTTACATAAAGTACTGCATCTGTTGTTCAAATTTAATGAATAAAGAATGCATGTAATAATTATTGGGAAGTGTGTTTAATGTTCAACCATTGTGAAAATCTGCAAAAGAGATAATTGAGCAATAACTCAATAAACACTTTTAAAGGTGTACGATGTCACTTTTTTATGATTCAGCGTCTGCCTCCAATTTCCATGATAGAAATTTGATTACCAAGAATGTTCTACAGTGTGGCATTAAATGTGTTCTCCTATACTGCTAAAAACCTTTAACTTGTTCTGATGTTGTCACCTGCTGATTCTATAGAGACACGTTTAATGCCATACTGTGGAACAGAGATCGACTGACATGCGTTTTTTCATGGCCAATGCTCATCCCGAATAAACAATGACCAATGACATCTGCTGACATTATTTGGGCTGATATTTTGAGCCAAAATTTAGGACCAATATTGGTAATTTTCACCAAATGATCTAATTTGAATTCAGTACGAACTCATCTGCAACCTTGTTTTACTACAAACTGCGTAGAAGCCAGCATAGTCACATTTTTTGCAGTAGCCTCTTTAGACCAGAGTTAACAAATAAAACTTTATGCATGTGTTTTGATGCATATTTCAGCTTCTGGTTGGGCCAAACAAAATGTCGGCTTTTGCTGGAGATTTAAGGCAGATATCCAATAAGCTACAAATTAGCTTATACTGGTCTATTTCTACTGTGGAACACTCTATGGAAACAAGCAGGTAGCACATAGTCTGATTCATCAGCTGGTTTCACTTCGTAGAAACTGTCTGATCTGTTTGCTCAACGGTAGACGGGTACTTTTTTGTTGTGACGTATGTAATGCACCACTAACGGGGGCTAACTTGTATATTAAGATTTTCCCAAATCCCGTAGGAATGGGACAATAACGTCTTTCCCCTTGATAAAATTCACCAAATATTTGTTTTGTTCCGGCTTTAAATCTTTAATCTTGGGAATTGTTGCCAACACAGAATGTATGACTCTTCGCTGATTGGCTGGTGCCCGAACTTGCGCTTTTGGAGTTTTTGCGAACCGTCCAGTGTATTCCGATTCCTGACCTAATTGCTGGAGAGAAATGAAATTGAGCAGAGGCACTAGGCTGAATAGCAAACTCGGCTACAGAAAAGTTACACAGTACACCATTAAAGTAGTCTATGAGTGTGTATGTGTTGAACAGATTGGCCAATATTATGCAGTATACTGATACTATTGTCCTTATGTTTTAAATGAATAATTTAGATTTACGCTCCTGGCCGTGGGGATTTTGGCGTGCGTTTGTAGAATACACTATTTAGTCCTTATGTTGCCAAGACGATGTGATTAAATTTTCAAAAAGGACACCAACTGCACAGGATTTAAATATAAAGTGTACTGAGTGATGCAAGATTTTAAACCTAATTTGTGAACCAAATAACCAGAAAATATATTTTTAAAAACATAAAAAAAAAAACTAACCTGTTCTCGTAAATAGGACCTTTGCGGTTTCTCCTCTCTTTCTTCTTCTTCTTCTTCTGGCTGTGGTTCATTGGGCACAGCCTCTTCCTCCTTCTCCTCTCTCCTGTAGGATCTGCTCTCCTCTTCCTCACTTTCTCTATAGCGCCCCCTACGCCACGACGAAGGCCTCTCCTCTTCTCCGTTGTTGGTTTTCTCCATAGTGGTGGTGGTGGTGGTGGTAGTAATAGTATCATTGGAATCGGGGCTCTCCAGTTTCTGCCTCTCCATGGCCTCCTTCATGCGCCTCAGTCTTCTCTCCTCTCTTTTGGCCATGCGCTCCATCAGGGCCTGGTCTTCTTCATCTGCTCCTCCTCCTCCTCCCCCCAGAGAGCTGCTCACAGACACAGACTCTGTCACACTGCAAACACAAAACAGCCACTGTGTCAAAAAGAGGTCACACTGGAGCACATTGAGATGGTAATATACAGAGCATCAGATGTCATTAGCTTCTGGACATTATAGTAAAGGCTGCGTTCTTGTCCTATATGTTGAGTTTCTCTGCTTTTCTGGGGAAACTACGCTGACTCAAATTCATTTACTGGAGACTGATTCAAATCTTCCAAAATCTATTAACCATACTGAACCAGGATTAGAACAGGACCAAACGTGTTCAAAATCCGAAAGAGCCAATATGAGCTCAGAGGCACGGCCTTGTTTATCAAAAAGAAAATCAGAACAAACATTATGAAATTTTGTAAATCTGTTAAAGGGGTGGAGCTCTGGAACAATTGTACAGAAAACCTAAAAATGTGCACCAGTCTCTTTCACTTTATAAAGAAGTTTAAATGTTTAACTCTGGGCAGATACATGAAATATGATAGTTTGTTTGTGCTGTAGTACTTTGTTGTACTGTTACTGATTTGTTTGTTTCCTCTCGCTGTATTTATGAAGATGAACTGTTGTCAAGATGACGCTCTGACAAAGGAATAAAGGGTAAAGGCAGAATAAGCACAAGCTTCAGCCTGCACCTTTTCGGTCTGTGTATGTTAAATATGACTGTCTGTGAATTAATGTCAGAATATACCTGTGACCGAAATAAATAAATAAATTAATAAATAAAAAACAAGTCTAGATCAGGACTAAACTCAACCAGGCTCAAACCACAATCCGTGTATCATTCGTTTATTCGTTTTGAGAATAAAGACCGGGACTTAGAGTGGAACCAGACCAGAACTGAGACCAGGACTGAGACAATAACTGAGGCCAGGACTGAAACCAGGACTGAGACCAGGACTGAGACAAGGACCAAACCGGGACCGGGACTGAAACAAAGGCCAGACCGGGACCAGCCCAGGTCAAGAACAGGACTGAAACCAGGACTGAGACCGAGACCAGACCAGGACCAGACCGGGACTGAGACCAGGACTGAGACAATAACTGAGGTCAGGACTGAGACCAGGACTGAAACCAGGACTGAGACCGGGACCAGACCAGGACCAGACCGGGACTGAGACCAGGACTGAGACAATAACTGAGGTCAGGACTGAGACCAGGACTGAAACCAGGACTGAGACCGGGACCAGACCAGGACCAGACCAGGACCAAGACGGGGACTGAGACCAGGACCAGACCAGGACCAGACCAGGACCAGGACCAGACTGGGACTGAGACCAGGACTGAGACCAAGAACAGACTGGGACAAGATCGGGACTGAGAGTAGGACTGAGACCAGGACCAGACCGGGACCAGACCGAGACTGAGACCAGGACAAGATCAGGACTGAAACTGGGACTGAGACCCGAACCAGTCTGGGACTAAGACCGGGACTGAGACCGGAACCAGATCGGGACTGAAACTGGGACCAGACCAGGATTGAGACCAGAGCTGAGACCGGTTTAGTCAGTTTTTTCCATTATTCTTTTAAACACAGTGCTGAAAACTGAAAAAGAAAAAAAAAAAAAAAGAAAAAATTTTATCTGTTTTTTCATTTTGGTTTTGGAGACAAATCATGAAGAAAATAGTTGTTTTTTCATTTTCTTATTTTTGGTTTTATATTGAAAAATGAATAAACAAATGGTACACGGATTAACATGGATCAAAACTTTGTAAATAGGAAATCCCTCCACTCTCTAAACAATAGCAGTGGATTTTAGTCTCATTCCTGCTGGAGTTTTACACATGACCGAACTACACCCATTTTAAGTCTGTCCGTCCAAACACTGTTATTGGCAATTTAATATGCGTTCAATTAAAGTCCACAGAGACCAGGTTTAGAGCAGTCCAATGATTATTACTCATACCGTATTACAACAAAAATTATGAAGCGTAACCAAATCCCTGAAAATCCAGACAATATAACAACTGATCGCATATGTTTGCAACCACTATTCTATACACTACCAATCAAAAGTTTGGACTCACTGTCTCATTCAGTTCAGTGTTTTTTTTCTTTTTTCTGACCACTTTCTACATTTTAGATACATAGGATACATAGGATTTGGCTATAAGATATTTTAACATTTTCATTTTGTTTAAGTTTTTGTTTCTTTGCTACATAATTATATACGTGTACCATATTTTTTGGACTGTAAGTCGCTCCGGACTATAAGTCGCACCAGTCAAAAAATGCATAATGAAGAAGAAAAAAACATATACAAGTCGCACTGGACTATAAGTCGCGCTTTTTGGGGGAAGTTTATTTTATAAAATCAGAGACCAGGAACTGACATTTCATCTTGAAAGGCAAGTTATAGTAATAACAATAGAAAAGAGAACCACAGGCTGTTAATGTCACATATGAACAGTTATTCAGACAACTAGAGCATAACCAACAAGTTTACCAAACTCTCTATCTCACTCCAAATCACTAAATCCATTGAATTCTTCATCCTCTGTGTCACTTCTGAGCAACTCCACGACCTCCGGAGGTAAACAGAGCGCCGCTTCCTCTTCTGCATAGCTGTCATCAGACTCAGCATCAGTTCCAGTTAGAATTATTCCGGCCTTTCTGAATCCCGACAGGATGGTTTCAGTGTTACTGAAGTCCAGGCTTTGTTGATCCATCCAATCACTTCCAGGAAAGTTACATGGTGCACTCTTCCGGCTGCCATGAAGCTGTGTTCTCCATCCCCGCTTTCCACCAGTCCCTCACAAGTTTCTCGCTCACTCCAAACTTTCTTTCTGCTGCTCGATTACTGTTTTCAGCTGCATATTTCACTACTTGCAGCAGGACACATGCAGGAGACATGCGCAGTAGGGCACCAAGTGACAGTGGTACAGGAGTAACAGGAGTAGCAGACACAATGACACACAAGCCTAGAGCCTCTTGTGGCTGTCAGTGCAAAAACTTTAACATATAAGTTGCACCGGAGTATAAGTCGCAGCACCACCCAGACCATGAAAACAAATGTGACTTATAGTCCAAAAAATACAGTACTTCATATATTTGATGTCTTTTGTGTGTATAGTAGCTAACATATATTAAAAAAAAGACACTGAATGAGAGGGCGAGTCCAAACTTTTGGTAGTGCACATCTCTAACAGACTTTATCCTGTTGTGGGAGACATTTTGGGGACTTTTGACCGTAAGTTTTGATTGCTAATTGCTATGGCAGCAGTCATAATGATTTATCACTCTCAAACTAATAGTAACACAGATGAGTTACAGCCCATCCCCAAACCATGAGTCAACCTCTTCTGACCTCAGTATCAGTCTAACGTTTTCCTTGTGTTTAGACAAAGCACAAAGCCCTGCGCTGGGTCCCGTCTCAGGGCTGCTCCTCACACTGTGCCTGTTGTGTGGAGTCTGAAGGCTCCTTGTGAGGAAATACCCCTGACCACAGACCACAGATGTGCAGATACATGTCCAAAGATACCACTCCCCCCTCCGCAGCTCCGCCAATGCATCTGTACGGCGCTCACTATCAATGCTACGGCTTTATCACGGATGACATCAGGCTCACAGTATTATACCAGGAAAATATGCATTACTCGGGCTTAGCTTTATTGGGAAACAGATCGTGTCCAACGTATCTGATGTCTGATATTTAGAAATGATTGGCAACCGCTCTGTTATGGGATGACAGTGGCTCATTGTTGGAAGACGACATCCTGTTCAGATCAAGTTCTGCTGTTGTGTCCTTAGGCAAGACATTTCCCCCAGATTGCCTAGTATGTGTGTGTCTGTGTGTTTGAGTGATTGGCCGTGGTCGGAGGGGACGATAAGAGGGGACGATGGCGCAAACTGGCAGCCGTCCCTCAGTCTACCCCTGGGGCCAGTGCAGCTGTACAATAGCAGCTCACCACCACCCAGTGTGGAGTGACTAAAGAATGAATATAGTGTTTTGCTTTGAGAAGTGATTACAAGTGTAAGGCATTATTATTTCTGGGAGTAGAATGATGAATAGTATTTTAGTAAAAAAGTATATATATGACATAAATTGTATTGTAAGTAAGTAGAATAGAGGAACTTTGGTACATGAGAAATCAAGATAAAATATAGTGAATAATTGCTTGCTGAATTTTTACTGAATTTTTCTAACTATAATTCGCACTTTTTATATATTAAAATTTTCACACTGACAGCCTCGAGAAGATGCACTAAACGTGTGTGCCAGTATCTGCTGCTCTTGTTACTCCTGTGCCACTGTCACTGCGCATGCCTCCTGCAGAAAGAGCGGCTCTCCTGCTGCAAGTAGTGAAATATTCAGCCGAAAGCGGTAATCGAGCAGCAGAACGAAAGTTTGGAGTGAGCGAGAAACTTGTGAGCTACACAGAAGAGGAAGTGGCGCTCTGTTTACCTCCGGAGATCGCGGAGTTGCTCAGAAGTGACACCAAGGATAAAGAATTCAATTGATTTAGTGATTTAGAGTGAGATTGAGCATTTTGTAAACTTGTTATGTTTTGTTGTTTATGCCATAGTTATCTGAATACATGTTCATATGTGATGTTAACAGTCTGTTGTTCTCTGTTCTATTGTTATTACTATAACTTGCCTTTCAAGATGAAATGTCGGTTCCTGGTCTCTGATTTTATAAAATAAATTTCCGTTTCAGTGTAGACTCTGCACACCTGTGTGTTGGAGTTGAGGCACTTAGCTGTTTTTTTAAAAGAAAAAACTCCTGTACACTGTCTCACTCTTGATTTTTCTTTTATTAGTATAATGTTTTGGTCCCTCGGACCGTCCTCAGGTATGAGAGACTGAGGAAGAGAAAAAAAAAACATAAAATAAACATAAAATAAATTTCCCCCCAAAATATATGATTTTTTTCTTCTTCTTTAAGCATTTTTTGGCTGGTGCGACTTACACTCCGGAGCGACTTATTGTCCAAAAAATATGGTACTTGAAGAAAGTCTAAATGAAATGTTTTGCAATTTTGTCATATTTGATTAAGACTGATCCCTGAAGGTTAGAGTAAAAGTTAAGTAGTGAGTGAGTATGCATAATCGCATGTGTGTGTGTGTTTATATGTGTGTGTGGTCACCTGTGGTTGTTGGTCAGGATGGAGGTCTCAGACTGGTTGTTGCTGTTCTCTTCGTTCTCTCTGTTCTTCATCCTCTCCTGACGAGCGCGGCGCCTCCTCTCACGAGCGGCTTCCTCCTCATCATCCTCAGTGCGAGCCAACCTGCACACACCCGACACAAACAAACTCAGGAACTGGGTTTCAAACAACGGTGGAAGATTCACTCAATTTTGTTAGTTAAAGGTGCACTATGTAACTTTTTGATTAGGGGTCTGTCATCTGCTTGTTTCTATGGAGATGTCATTGCTCTGCCTGGAATGTTCCACAGTGTGACATTAAACAGCTCTACCTTACAGTTATTCAGTCAGAGGTGGTTTTATAGCTCATGAATACATAGAAAAACAGACATTCTGACTGTGAGCGGGGTCGCCTCTCCACAGATCTGACCTGTAACCTGTCTCTATAAAGATAGAAAGGTTTAATACTGTACAGTGAAACATTAGAGCCAAAGCAATTGTGTCTCTCCACCAGAAAAGTTACACAATGCACCATTAAGTACAGACTTAAAGTACAGATTCTCGAGTACTGAAGTAAAAGTATCACATGAAAAAGTCTACTTAAGTAAAAGAATTAAAGTACCCGTAAATAGTAAGTATTTCTCGCATATTTTGAGGTCTTACAAGACTTCAAATGTAGTGATTTTGTTAAGATTTGTGCTGCATTTTGTTCAACAGGAAGAACTGAATCAATATTTCTAGCTGTTTTTATTTGTATATTTTTCTTTGCTTAAACAATGAACTTGATAAAAATAAACCGTCAGCCCTTTAAGATCAATAAAACTTTTGCTTTCTCAGTCCAGTTAGATGTAGTGAAGTAAAAGTAAAAAGTGTTACTGTAAATAATGTAATTAAGTAAAGTACAGATACCTAAAATGTATACTTAAGTACTTTTACTTCATTACACTCCAGGTCTGGTTTCAAATAGACCCTTCAAAGAATAATTTGTTTAGAAGAGTCACACACGCAGCCTGGTACTGATTTTAACACTCAACCCCATTCATTATAATGAGACAAAATAAAGACATTCACTTTGACATTTGTAGACCATAAAAGCAAATGGTTGTTGTTTAAATGTTATATGCTCAGATTTAGAGGTAATAGAAATAAAGATCTGACTGCCAGACTCATTCTCTAAAGTTAACTTTTAAAGAACTCAGGCAAGTCTGTAGCTCTGAGGATTTGGTGACAACTGAATACTTTTAAAAGGTAAAATAACACAATACGAAGGAGAGTGAAAGGGGCGAAATGAATCTTTGGGCTTGACTGAACATGGCAGCAGAGACTTGGCTTCCCATCCTGCCTATTGATATTTTTCAGCTGATATCATCAATATTCCCTGGGGGTGTGACGCTAACTAAAAGTACTGCTCCATCAGAAGCTCTGTTCCTCAAACTAGACATAATCTAATCTTTATTTAACACAAACTGACCAGAAGAAGCTGTTTTAGGTGAGATACTGTGTGTGCAAAAACAAATCTCTCACACATAAAATTACAGTAGCATCAGCCAACAGTTTTCCAGTTAGTCACTCTCACTTTTTTGTTGAAAATCAAACACCTAAACAGGATCATGAACGCTCGTATTGATCACAGGCTCCAGAAAATGTGTGTTTAAATTCATTTTGTATATTAAAACATTGTTGGCTGTGTTTGCCAATGTGTGCATTTTATCACCATGGTAAACCGCTAGGGCTGAACGATCTATCACTTTGGACCGAAAATTGCGATATCAGAAAACTCGATTTTGGGAGAGTTAAAAGTATTTTTAAATTTTTTTTTTGCAGTGCTCATAACTGTCACAGAAAGAACAACAATATTCCACTTGGTCGTGTCCTTGAGTTCGGCATCAGCGCACAAGGAAAGAGCTTTTTTTTTTTCAGCGATTACACATTTTATGCAAATGCGCCATGTGGTTTTAAGTTTTGTTTCTGTAAAACATAAACAAATGTGTCAAAGCTGCATTAAACAGATTATAATCTCAAACGGGCTGATGTGGCTCTATAGTGGTTATGGTTTATATGCTGTAACGTTGAGTTTATTTATGCAGATTTGTAATAGTAATAATAATGATGATCATTTTAATATTAATTGAAGACCTGGTTTAGGCCTGGTTCAGTCCCGGTTCAGTTCTGGTTTAGTCCTCCTGGTTCAGTCCTGGGATCACTCCTGGTTTAGTCCTGGTTCAGACCTGGTTTAGACCTGGTTTAGGCCTGGTTCAGTCCTGGTTTAGTTCTGGTTCAGTCCTGGTTCAGTCCTGGTTTCAGTCCTGGTTTAGTTCTGGTTTAGTCCTGGTTCAGTCCTGGTTCAGTCCTGTTTTAGTCCTGGTTCAGTCCTGGTTCAGTCCTGGTTTAGTTCTGGTTCAGTCCTGGTTCAGTCCTGGTTCAGTCCTGTTTTAGTCCTGGTTCAGTCCTGGTTCAGTCCTGTTTTAGTCCTGGTTCAGTTCTGGTTTAGACCTGGTTTAGTCCTGGTTCAATCCATATGCGGCGATAGTCAGTCAGATCAATGTTTCTTCTGCTTAGTAGTAGTAGTAGTAGTAGTAGTAGTAGTAGTAGTAGTAGTAGTAGTAGTAGTAGTAGTAGTAGTTTTTACAGTAGTAGTCACGTCGTGCAGGACTCTGGTCTGATGTAAGTTTCTGTGATATTTCCAAATGTTCATGTGCACTGAAACGTGATTTGACAAAAAATTGTGGATGAAATTGAAAAAGAAATATCTGCCAGAAAAATTGCTATTCAGTTTTTTCTTAAAATCATTCAGCCCAAGTAACTGCTGAACACTCCACCAATAGAGATGCATGTAGAACACCCCCAGCGCAATGCCACTGCAAAGCATCAACAAGAAGAAGATGCAGCCAAATTTCCAACAAATTAAATGTTTTAGAAGTGAATTCAATTGTGATTTTGTTAGCTAATTGCCCACCCCTGATCCAAGTATTTTTTAAAAAGTATAAGAAGTATAAATACAAGTACAAAACAGAAAATCCAACAGGTGGAAACGCTTTAAGCACACCATTTCTCCTCTTGTCTCTGTAACTCCCCGTCCACTTCGCAGGCCTCTCCTCTTACCTCCTCAGTCAGAAACCTTTACGGCGACTATTCTTCAAATTGGACCATAACTGTCCCATAATCTCGACCAAGAGGATTTCTCCAGACTTTTCCCCCTCTTCCTATCAAGCTGACCTGTCAACTGTGCAACCACCAATACTTCTTATCAGAGGTAAGTACACCGATAAAGTCTAGGGACACAAAACTGCACTCCTTGGGTTTATAGACTGTGCTGAGACCTGGCCAAATGGTCTGAATTGCTTGTATACGACTACATAATACGTTTACATGACTTTTCTTTTTACGTGATTTACAAGAAAACATCTGAATTTAGTTTAAGATCTTAAAATGGACAATCCAGACAGTGTTTAAATCTGTGTTTTAGCAAGGTTTTGTATAAAGGAGAATGTAATGTAATTGCAAGACAGACCGGCTGTGTTGTCTTGCTTTGAGAACTGAAGGATATTAAGAAATAAACAAATTACATCCTGAACGGTTTATAGTTACATAATCTGTTTGGTCCAAAAGCAACAGCAGCTCCATTCAGAGACAAAGATTATATTTGACAGTCGTAATAAAGAAAGTTGAAAAACACCACACAAAGGTAATACAAGGATAAGCAGCGCTGTTATGAATATACCAGATTATTTGCATAAAAATTTAATCTCGTATTCTAATCTGATTTTTATCTAGCCACATTGCTGCTGTATTTAAAGTCGTAACGAGCAAGTTTTCTGTTTGAGGGCCTTAAACCTTCTTTTCTCCATGGAGATTTTTTTCTGATTACAATGATGTGGAGATGTTATACACAGTTCCTCTTGAAAAAAACCTACAAATAAAAGATAACACAAAAACTGACCGACATTTAATAGGATTTTCATATTAATTCTTTTTTTTTTTTACTAAATACAAGTCCCATTTCATCTTGTTTTTAGTGAGATCTGCTTCAGCTTTAACATGGAAATTGTCAAAACCCAAAAAATCCTCAATCTGCTGTCTATCAGATCATTCCCCAGGGACACCAGCTATACCTATTCTTAAATTTACTCCCAAAAATAAGGTCCAATCTGACTTTCCTGTGTTCCTTGTTTCCAGTTAAAGGGCTCATATTACTCTGTATGTTATAATGTTTCCCATCAACAACATACCAGGAGTTGTGTTTTGTGTGTGTTTCCATACACCATCACTAGAATAATTTGGAAACTGCAGCTCTGGAACTGCCTCGCTGTACTGAACAAAACGTAAAACATAGCTGTTCAATTGAAAACTGAATTTGGAACAGAACATTTTGAGTGTTGAAGATGTAGACAAACTAATAATAAAAGTTTACTCAAAACTCCAGAGCCTCAGCTTCACAAAGAGTCCAGCCACTTGCCTGTGCTCTAAAGGGTTCAGAAACCTTCACTTTGAACTGAGAGTTATTTTAGTCATTTTAGGAAAAATAGACCAGAATGGTAAGGGTTAAATAGTTATCAGTTTTGAGTGGGCGGCCTTAAGTGACTTCAGATGGCCTGTCTCTTGTTTGAAGGTGCCATCAGTTAGCCTGATTCATCAGCCGGTTTCACTTCGTGGAAATCATTTGACCTTGTTTCATTAGAATTTGTTCTCTCGAATTTAACTGAGATCTGCTATTTGGTCGTGACATATGTAATGTGCCACGAATGGGGCAAACTGGTATATTAAGCTTTTACCAAATCCCGTAGGAAGAAGGACAAAAACATCTTTCCCTTTGATAAAATTCACCAAACATTCTCTTTGTTCCGGCTTTAAATTCTCGATCTCTGGAATCGTTGCCAACACAGAATGTATGGCTCTTCGCTGATTGGCTGGTGCCCGGACTCGCACCTCTGGGGTTTTTGCAAACCCTAGTGTATTCCAATTCCTGACCTAGTCGCTGGAGAGAAATTAAACTGACCAGAGGCACTAGGTGGCACCAGCCTGGGTAGCCATCAGTATCATGAAGGACGTTTGTTATATTTTATAAGGAGAAAACGACATCGTCATTTTAATTTAGCATAATACATGTTTACATTTTATTTATATAGCGCTTTTCTAAACACTCAA